ATTTTTTCACTCAAATAGTTGTACTTGGTGTTCTCAGATGTTATAGTACACAAGAAAATTGATTTTTTAAAAAAAGGCCCCTGGTTTACTGTAGTAGAAAAAATAAACAGTATATATATATATAATATATATATTGATACCCATATTTGTGTAGAAATGTATAGTTTGTGTTTTTTTATTTGACTTACATTGAAAGTAAGATGAAGTAGAAAAGACGCATTATTAACTCCATCTAATAGTTCAAGAGATACGGGCATCACAAAATTGACAGACCCAGGGTCATGCAGCTATGAAGTATCTGAGCCATGACTAGAACCTGAGTCCTGGAAAAATAAACTTCAAGAAGTCCTAGGAAAGTGATAGAGGGTAGAATGGGAGAGGCAGAGGACAAGGAGGACCAGGGAATATGCTTCATTTCAAGTGTGTCTTGGCTTCAAATGTGTCTTGGCTTCAAATGTAGTGATGATGGAGCAAGGAGAGCGACTGAGAACAGAACAATCTACACAAAGAAAAGATGAGGGAGACTGGAGAAAACATTTGCTTGGCTGGGCATCAGAAGCATGGAGGGTGAGGAAGGTGGCAGGAAGGTAGGGGCCTGGCCCAGGATAAGGAGTTTGGACTTTCTTTAGGCACCCATTGGGCACTATTGAAGGGTCTCATTTGCTTGTTTGTGTCTTAGTTTGAGAAGACAGTTAGTTGGTGGAACAGTATTTCTTGAAGCTCAAGATATTAGTACAGAAAAACCATGCAGAAAAACACTTCAGGAGGAAGATGAGTTGGGAATCTGGCAGAGAAACCCAGAGGGAACGGAGTAGAGGCAGCAACGCCTTTTGGACATCTATAGTCTTAAAGTCCTAATCAGATGTGCTGACCCTGTGGGAAAATCAGGCCCAAATAACCAAGCCACTTTGTTAAAGCTAGTGGTGAGGGGTGAGCAAGCAAGAGAACTGAAAATGCCGCAGCTGGAGAAACATGTTGTGTTACCCAGTGACTGATTTCCTGAGTGCAGTGCTCCCCTGTGTGGGGATGGGCAGAGGTGTGGTGGACCCAGGGGAAGACCACACCTTCCAGTGGGCTGACTGTCAGGTCTCCTGCAGGGGAAATGGCTGTCTCAGCTTGTGTTGTAGTGTTCTGTCAAACCCCACCCCCAGGCTCGCGTGTG